TAGTTTACACACGGTTATCGTATTCTACGCATTCACAACATGTTCACAGCGATCGATATCCACGCTGTATCATATAAAAACGATTACCAAGATTAGTTACGCAAGACCAAGTTTTAAATTAGTTGCATTTTGAAGGGATGGGCGCTTTGCTGAATGTGACCCCATATATAAAAATTGTGCAAAAGTGGGGGGGTGGGCGCTTGCCTGGGCATGGGCGCTTGCCCGGGCATGGGCGCTAACGCGGTCGAGTATGGTATATAGAACAAAAACTATTTTCATTTTATATGCATTTATGCAGCCAATTTATGCGACACATTTGTTAAATTTTAATATTTTTTTTGTGTTTAAGAAAATTATTATTTTAAAACTCTTATTACTGAGCTGAAATTAACATGTAAAACCATTTTATTGCACTGACAAAGTAATAGCAACATCAAATTCGCTAGCACAGCTGCACACTGATAGGAAAAGTGACATTATTATGTTAGTAAGATGGCCACAAATCATGGAATGTGCACAATGCACAACATGTCAGCACTTTCAACTTGAACATACAAGTCAGGAGAAACAATAGCGTCCATTCAATATTGGAACTGAGTACAAAAATAAGTATTTATTGATTGTGTGTGTGCAATTAATGTTATTGAGTTTTGGAAGAGGATATTAATAGGGGCAATTGTAAAAAAAAAAAAAAAAAAAAAAAAACTTATTATGCTCAGATTTGAAAAATATCATTCTTCAACATATGCTGCAAAAAGTCTGATGAGAAAATGTTTTAAATGCACAGATGAACAAATATTCGTCAAATTAATAGTCATTTTTTTCAGGCTGCCTCTGACTAGGATATAAGAATGGAGACCAGTTGTCATTTTGGATTGTATTGTGTCCAGCTAATGATTTATATAAAACAGAAATGTTAAAAACAAAATAAGCTCTAAATCAGCTCCCGGTATCTTTAAAAATAATTGATTTGTCTTGGTGTCTGGATTAAATCAAATTGATTAACACATGTCAGAGATACGCGAGATACAAACATGGTGACTTCACCTAAACATCAAAAAATAGTAGCTATTTTGATCAAATTTGTGAATATTTAATGAAACTTTATTGTATTTTGTGATTGAAAAATATTATATTGTAACTTACCATCACATTCACCTTCAACCATTTCAAAGCCGTTTTTACACTTTATACATTTATCAGGTCCGTCACCGAGACACGATTCACATGCATAGTCACATCCCGTACATTTAAATGAACCAACAGTGTTCATACAATATTCATTGGTTTCGCATGGGTTGGCTTCAGAATCACTACACTCATCAAAATCTATGGGAGAATTAATAAATGTTGTGTTATGTGTATGTATTACATATACTGCAAGACGTGTGGATCATTGCAGCCTCATTCAGTCCATGACCCTTGACTGCTTCCAGAAAGTTGGCCATAGTAGGCCAATCGAGCAACATCGCTTGTAAATACTGATCAGTGACAGTGTTAGACAGGTTGTCACTCTATATAGAGTTTTTTTGACATGTAAAATTTGGTCATAACTGTTTAATTGTGGCCACTATAGACAGGAGGCTGCTTTATAGAGTTGACTTTTAACACAGGTTTGACTGTACTGTAAGACACAGAAAAGTTTTTTTTTTAATAAAAACGATTTGTTTTGAAGTGAATGTCTTATGTAAATCAAGATAATGCTTTCTTTTGTGAGAAATGTGAGTGCAAACAGAAAACAAATGGTTTCAGAATCCAAATGTTGAATAATATTAGATTGGTTACCTTGGCAACCTTCATCATCAGATTCTTCCCATCCTTCTTTGCACTCGTCGCAATCCTTTGGTGACGGTCCCCAACAAGTGTGAGCACACGCTTCATGGCATTCTGGGAATGAGATAGAGAGACAAGAAACATCAAAAATAAACATAATCATCTGCACCAGTCAGCCAAATGCGCTCAAACATCAAAACAAGGTACATACGTATACACAAGGTTTTTAAGTTCATCCTTAGTGTACGCTTGAGAGACAAAATTAATCTGGAAATTACTGAATATTATACTATTACGGTATACTAAATCATGATAATTTCAAGCAACGAAAACTGTTCACAGTACATATATCAAGTTCTTCATGTTACAAAACATAGGATAGGATGGAACAGAAATGCCACCACATGCAAATATTTTGCAAATGTTCTTTATGCAGACTGTCATGATGTAGCAAGTGTCTGAGACTTTAAATTAAATATAAATCTATAGACAAGATGACATTAACATCAAATTCCATATCCAAGAACCAATTTTATCTTACAATTCTATCAAGATGTATTCCACTTACTTTCACAGATGACATGCGTTTTATTTTTAGTTTCTTCAAAAAATCCATCTTTACAAACTTCACATATTTCCCCTTTGTAACCATCGTCACATTTACATTTTCCAGAACCGCCACGTGTTCCCTCTCCCTGTGAATCAAGACAATGCAAGTGAAATATCTATTATCTGTTAAAAACTTATCATTCATGCTTCATGTAAATAAACATCATAGACATGAACACTATACAGCCACCATGTAAATATACACTTAGATGTGAACACTATACAGCCACCTTGTAAATATACACTTAGATGTGAACACTATACAGCCACCTTGTAAATATACACTTAGATGTGAACACTATACAGCCACCTTGTAAATATATACTTAGATGTGAACACTATACAGCCAACTTGTAAATATACACTTAGATGTGAACACTATACAGCCACCTTGTAAATATACATCATAGATGTGAACACTATACAGCCACCTTGTAAATATACACATAGATGTGAACACTATACAGCCTCCATGTAAATATACACTTAGATGTGAACACTATACAGCCTCCATGTAAATATACACATAGATGTGAACACTATACAGCCTCCATGTAAATATACACATAGATGTGAACACTATACAGCCTCCATGTAAATATACACTTAGATGTGAACACTATACAGCCTCCATGTAAATATACACTTAGATGTGAACACTATACAGCCACCTTGTAAATATACACTTAGATGTGAACACTATACAGCCTCCA